ATGCCAGTGATCTTCTCTTTGAAGATTACAGTTTACTTGTGTGTATAGATTGGTTTTCTTCACCCTACATTGTCTGTACTATATTCCTTTTTTATCCTCTGTTGTTTTGTACTCTCTTCTATTACAGCAAGGGTTTTTCTCAAATGTCTGGTAATTCTTTGCTATATATTCATACAGAGGAATATTTGTTTTTTAAAGATTTTATTTATTTATTTATTCATGACAGAGAGAGAGAGAGGCAGAGACACAGGCAGAGGGAGAAGCAGGCTCCATACAGGGAGCCCAACGTGGGACTCGATCCCAGGTCTCCAGGATCACGCCCCGGGCCAAAGGCAGCACTAAGTCGCTGAGCCACCTGGGCATCCCCATACAGAGGAATATTAAAAAGTTAACTGAGAGATATATCAGCCTTTTCATTAAAGATGGGTGGGGGGTGGGGTACCTAAAGTATTTTTTTCCAGAGCATTCTGTTTATCCAGAGAAAAATCTTCCAATCTCTAGTCTGAGGGCTTTGAGTCAAGCTACAAGTATTCTGAAAGCAGGGTAGAGGAAACAAATTTAATGTTAACTTGCATTGAATCCGCCCTTCTTTTCTTTTTTCAGTTTCAGAATTCAGTGATTCATTAACCATCCACCACATATAATACTCAGTGCTCATTATATCAAGTGCCCTCCTTAATGTCCATCACCCAGTTATCCCATCCTCCCACCTACCTCCCTTCAAACAACCCTCAGTTTGTTTCCTACAGTTAAGGAATCTGCCTTTCTTATTCTGGTGACTTCTCTGAAAAGAATGAGGGGCTTCTCGGTTTAATTTCTCCTGGAATACAAATAAACATCAGTTTGTTCTTTTGTTCTACCTGAGGATGGGACTTAAAAACATTTTCATTGGCTACATGGGGTAAAGAAGGGGTCCTAAGGGGCTTCTGATTCCTCCTACACAGATTTTCAACTAATTCCTCCCCCTTTTCAGCCTGTGTATTATATATCTCCCCCACTCCACCACACACACACGTGATGTTGTATGTCTCTAAACCCTAAGCCTCTGAGATTTTTACAAGGAAAATCGTTCACTTCTCACAGACATTCCCATTTGCATATGTTTAGGATAGGTCCTCATCTGTTCAGTCAGCTGCCACTTTTCCACCCTTCTATCTTTCAAGTATGTACTGAAATCTCTTGTATACTATGTCCCTTCTATTTTCTTTGCTCTTATGATATTAAAAGAAAATTTGTTATTTTACTTGGGTCTGAGGAGGGATAGGGATAGCAAATAGAGGCATGTGGTCAGTTTGCTATGCTGTCAATCTGCTTAAAGTCTCCTAATATAAAAGCTAAAAGTCATGTTCTTTGATAGGTCTGCATATCTACAGTTGGAATGTTACTGTACCGCACCACTCTTTGTTTACGAGATGCTACTGACCTAGCACTAGTGGGAAGCATACTATTTTTTTGACTAGTGAGGATAAATTTGTGACTAATGTCCATCTCCTTTCTAGGTTTCTTTGATACATATTTATTTACAAGAGATCTGACTATGGTAAGTGGGCAGGGTGCATTAGGTGTGGCAAGGAGCAGAGGGAAATGCAACTGTTAAACCTAGTATAAATTTTGCCATCTCTACTGAAATGCACAATTCCATCTATCAAAAATAACCGCTCATTTTCAACTACACTGTGAGTGTTCTGATATCATGCTCTCTACTTCTCTTTTAGAAGATTCTTTAGAAGTCCCTAGACTCATAACTCAGTATCCTGCATAGAGGAAACATTTATTAACCAACTATAAACTAATAATTTACTTTTTATATGGCTCTGAACTGATGACAGAAAAACAACTTCATGCATTATAAAAGTACTCATTTCCTCTTCTTTAAAAAAAAAACCTGCTCAATATTCCACTTCTGATATACATATGGTTGGAAAAGATACTATTTTATTAAATGACCTTGATTATAGATGACTGGTCCAAGGTAGGCATGAAATTCAAGCCAGGTCAGCCATTGTTCCCTAACACTGGGTCCCAGGCAATTAGATTGGTTTAGGAGTGAATACCTAAACTAAGCCAGAATTAACGTCTTGAGAATCAGTCTTTCACTAGTGAATGGAGTTATAAGAAATAAACCCCAAGAAGTGAAGTGAAGTGTTTCCTAACAGAGAAAAAAAGTCTGAAATTAAAAATAATAATAATAATAAAGGTAACACAGAATAAAGGAGCACCCATTCCTCCAAACATTCCAGCTCTCTTTCTCTTTCTCTCCCTCCATCTAGGCTATACAAAGTGACTCTGCAGGTGTTCTCTCAACTACAAGGCTGTATATAATTCTAACGAAAACATCAACAGGTTTTTTTTTTTTTTTAAGATTTCTATTTATTTAGGCAGAGAGAGAGAGAGAGAGAGAGAGAGAGAGGGAGAGACACAGGCAGAGGGAGAAGCAGGCTCCATGCAGGGAGCACGACATGGGACTTGATCCTGGGTCTCCAGGATCACGCCCTGGGCTGCAGGCGGCACTAAACCACTGAGTCACCGGGGCTGCCCCATCAACAGGTTTTTTTAAAAAAAGTTCATGATAAATTCTCAAATGTATAGAGAAGAGCAAAGGGCCAAAGATCATAAAGAAAAACTTCACAGGTTTTCTCTCTCAGGTATTAAGAATTACAGGCTATAGTAATTAAGGCAGTACAGTATTAGCTCAGGGACAAGTCAGCCAATGCAATAAAGTAGAGAACACATAAGTAGATCCTGACTTATGAGGAAATCTGATAGATAATAGCTAGTATTGCAGGTCAGTGGGGAAATGATCAAAGTTTCAATGAAAGGTATGGGACACTGGTTTTTTAAAAAAAGTGAATATGGATCTCTCTTTACAGAAACAGATCAGCTCTGAAAAGTTATTAGATCTCGAATGTGATAAACACAAGAAAACAAAAGATTTCAGAAATTACAAAAACAAAATTTAATGGATGTTAAATACAGATCTCAAGGGCTGATAAACTTAAATGCCATCAGAGCCATCCTAGGTACCCTCACCCTCTCTTTGTGAGAGGGGACCTTGAGTTAGTAATAGCCGATGAGTGAGTTAAGAAGGTAAAACTGGAAGTCTCAAAATGTTCAGAGATGGGTATGCTCTTTTGAATTTATGTAAATGCATATTCAATTTGCTCACAAACCCTACCATTACCCATTTCATTTTGTTTGCTTTTTGCCTCTCCAAGGCTGTCCCTAAGTACATTTTATCCCAGCTTGAGCATTACCCTACTCTACTTTTTTTTTTTTTAAGATTTTATTGTTTTAAGTAATCTCTATACCCCATATGGGGCTCCAACTTACAACCTCAAGATCAAGAGTCAGCATCCTCTTCCCTTACCCCACTTTGCATTTTGCTCTCCACTGGCAAGTCATTTCAACCCTGTCAGCAATTTCTTCTGGTACTAACCTCCATAAATTCGTTTTCTATCCTCCATAATTATAAATACTGTGTCTACACTTTTAGGTTTTCCTACTTTAAATACACCAATTTACTACTATGGAAGATGAGCATTCAGTGCTCTCCAATACACACACTTCCCTGCCCTCTTCCCATATATACTTAAAAAACATACTTCCATGAGGGTTTTCAGTTACAATCACACATGAAATCTTAAAAGCAAAACTATAGTAAGAGATACACAATAAAAAGAACAGGTTTTTATCTCTCTCATGATTACATACTGTCTATTAATCTAAATTCTCAAAGACTTGATTCTTTATTAATATTAAACATATTACCTCATTCAAATTATCACTGATTATGTATTCTTAAGTTAAATGTGTATTTATTATATACAAAGCACTATTCTCCCATTTGGGTTTACTTCTCAATGTTTACCTACTATGTAAGTGGAAATATATCTTTATCTTCACATAGATCTATTACTATCTATCAGAGACATATTGCCATGCCTAATGTAATTATTTTTTTTTAATTTTTTATTTATTTATGATAGTCACACAGAGAGAGAGAGGCAGAGACATAGGCAGAGGGAGAAGCAGGCTCCATGCACTGGGAGCCTGATGTGGGATTCGATCCCGGGTCTCCAGGATCATGCCCTGGGCCAAAGGCAGGCGCTAAACCGCTGCGCCACCCAGGGATCCTGCCTAATGTAATTAAATACATTAATTTAATTCTTATTCTGAAATCCATTACCAGTCCATAATCTAATTCTAAAAAACCGTGAAAACCGTAAGTTCTTTCTTTAGGCTTGACACCAAAACAAATTCAGTGACTTCAACTTAGATGACCATTTAGAGTCTTTATCCCACTTTGTGTGATTAGGCTGATGGTTCTTACCTGGAGGTGATTCTCCCCACAGAGGATATCTGGTAATGTCTAGAGACATTTTTAGTTGTCATAGCTGGGTGGGAGGTGCTACTGACACCTAGTGGGTAAAAGCTAAAAAATGGCTTATAGGATGTTCTATAATGCACAAGACAGATCCCTGCACCAAAGCGTTATTTGGCCCCCAAATGTCATTCTTACTGAGGTTGAGAAACTCTGGACTAGACTAATGTTTGTAGAAGACACATTAATGTATTTATTAATCAGTGCTGCCTCAGAGGCTTCTAAGGGCACAACAGAATACGTGATAAAAAGTACTAAGTATTACTACTACTGAAAAATCAGAAACTCTCTTAATTAGGCCTTTCTCAAATATCCAAATCTCATTGATGCTGAGAAGCAATAAACTATGGCCCAAGTCTTAGAAAATGAAGATGGTTACAGAAATTAATTGGCTATAACAAGTATATGAGCAATAAATTTAGTTTTATCCTTTTTTATAACAGGTTAAGAGACAGTAGCCTTTCTAATAGTGCCTATGTACCACCATCAATAGTTTTCTAGGATCTATACTGTTTTCACCATAAAAATCTCAAATTACTACATACTTCAATTAAAAAGACATAAAAATTGGTAACATAAAATAATAACTGAGACTCTTGAAATGACAGTACCTACTTACCTTTCTCTGTGCCGGAGAATATAGAGATGATTTTATTCCTGGGCTTTTTTTCCTCTGGAACGGAGGGCAAAGGTTTCAAACTGTGATTGGCTGACAAAGGATCTTTGCCTCCAGTGCTAAAAATGGTACTGCTCATTCGCACAGGAGGTGCTGGAGGCTTGTCTTCCAGTTCTCCGTTATCGGACATGATTTAGAATTATGATACTGCCTGAAATAGATAGGCAAAATCATACAGTTAATAGCAAGGTAAAGAAATAGTAGAGATAAGCACAAACAGTAATAATTATCCTCTTTCCAGCTCTGAATTAGAAAATATTATCTATTTAGAGTGCTTTGTAAAATTTGTAAAACTCCATGAGTTAAGAGATGAAAGTGGTTATTAATTTAGGTAATCTCCCCTATTAAAGTTGGTAAATAGTTAGCTGAGGGAATGTTTGAAAAGTGAATTCCAGTTAAGTTTTGAGGAAACATACAGATACTAACATATCATAAGATATTCACCTAATCAATTGATTCTAAGAGGATATATTCCAATGAAAAGACAGACAACATGGAGTCTTTTAAAAAAGATAATTCTATAAAAAAAATAATAAAATAAAATAAAATAAAATAAAATAAAAAAATAAAAAAGAGAATTCTGGGGGATCCCTGGGTGGCTCAGCGGTTTAGCGCCTGCCTTTGGCCCAGGGCATAATCCTGGAGCCCTGGGATGGAGTCCCGCCTCAGGCTCCCGGCATGGAGCCTGCCTCTCCCTCTGCCTATGTCTCTGCCTCTCTCTATGTCTATCATAAATAAATAAAATCTTTAAAAGAAAAAAAGAATTCTGCAGAGGAAGATTATTGTTCTGACCAATCAATCAAAAGGTCTCTGACGGGTCCCTTTCTTTCTTTCTTTTTCTTTCTTTCCTTCCTTCCTTCCTTCCTTCCTTCCTTCCTTCCTTCCTTCCTTCCTTCCTTCCTCTTCCTTCCTTCTTTCTTTCTTTCCTTTCTTTTTCTTTTTTTTTTTTTAAGATTTTATTTATTTATTTGACAGAGACAGAACAAGCAGGGGGAGCAGCAGGCAGAGGGAGAGGGAGAAGCAGGCTTCCCTCAGAGCAAGGTACCCAAAGCGGAGCTTGATCCCAAGATCCCAGGATCAGGGCCTGAGCTGAAGACAGACGCCCAACCAACTGAGCCACCGAGGTGCCCCTCCGATAGGTCCGTTTCTATAGCAGAGATAGAATGTTTGCTATTAAAGACATTAACCAACACCACTCGCCACAAAGCATTTGACTCCATGTTCACTAGCCCTGTGATTACAACTTAGCCTTCATATAAACTTGCCTAACGGATGAGAATGTGCCACTGATGCAATATTTAGTTTCTCTGAAAATCTGACATTCTAACTACATTTGCTAGTCCCTTGAAAGCTTTGCAGACAGACTCACAGAACTTGATCCATCTGGGAACACTGACAAAAGTAAATCCAGGGTTTGGCTGAAAACCAGGGTATGGCCAAATCCCAAGACTCTGTCATCCTGTGATGCCCTGACTAGGCAGGTTAAGAAACCCCTTAATCCACATGACTAATTCAGTGGAAACTTTAATTCTGTTTACATATATATTAATATTATATACACTATATATATATATTTATATATATAGTTCTGATATGAAAATATACATTAGAAAACAACACATTTCCCCAGTAAACAAAATTTTGATTAGTAATTAGATCCTGATTACAGTCATTTAATGTAAGTGAACAAAACTTCACATATGTAAAATGAAAAGAATGCCAATTGTATTTAGATAAAATTAAAAAGAAATTTTCTTTTTTATTTAGTTTGAATGTTAGCACCTGAAGAAAAGTAGGTATAATTTGAGAAGAATTGAGGAATGAAGAGATTATTGTACTTAATTCCACTTCAAATCTTACAGCTTCGGTTTTTCCTGATAAAAATATGCATCACTAGAACCACTGTGTATTTTATCTGCCACAATGAGAATTATTTTAGCCTTCAAATGAGCAAGCAGGAGAGAAGGTTAAGGAGGAAAATAAACTTTTCTGGGGATAACTAGCTGGAGGGGGGCTGGAACAAGAGAGTAAAAGAAAAAAAAAAAAACATCTCATCTGTGTGTGAGAAAGACTGCCTGAAGTGAAATTACTATTGGTGGTCAAAAGAAGAAATGAGGGCAGCCCGGGTGGCTCAGCGGTTTAGCGCCTGCCTTCGGCCCAGGTTGTGATCCTGGAGACCCGGGATCGAGTCCCATGTAGGGCTCCCTGCATGGAGTTTGCTTCTCCCTCTGTGTCTCTGCCTCTCATGAATAAATAAATAAAATCTTAAAAAAAAAAAAAAGAAGAAGAAGAAGAAATGAGGTTGGAATCTAGGAATGTGATGCAGATGATATAGTCTGATGATTCTTCCAAACCAAATGGTCACAACATGTGGGGTTTGTTTTGCTTTGGATTGAGAAGCAACTGGTTCTTCTGAAGTGTGGGCTGTCTGGTGTACATCACCAGAGAAGACTTATCTACTGCTACAAATGGAAGAAGGATAAGGTTAATAACAGTATTTGGAGGATTACTTGAGAACTTGATAAATCAAGGCAGATGTTTACTTTTTATGTGACCATAACATCAAGGCAAAACAGATTAACCTTACAGCAGCTCACTTTCATCTTAATCACCAGGTACAACAGACACAGCATGTTCAGACTTTGGTTACACCATGAATGCTCCACATTTATGCATATTAAATTTAAAGATCAGGGTAATATGGGATGTCTGGGTGGCACAGTTAAGCAGCTGGCTTGGGTGGTAATCTCAGGGTCGTGAGATCAAGCCCTGCATCTGGCTCTGCGTTCAGCACAGAGTCTGCTTCAGATTCTGTCTCTTTCTCCCTCCACTCCTCCCATTTGTGCTCATGCACTTACACATGTGTTTGCTCTCTCTCTCAAATAAATACATCTTTTAAAAAAATCAGGGTAATACAACAAAATTTCAAAATACATTTGCATGCATTCAAAGAAAGAAATGCACCAAAATATTAGCAGTGATTATCTGTGGCTAAAAGTAATTTTAGCTTGATAAGCATCAGAGCTGTGGTTAAAATAAAAATCGATATAAAACAGGGCACAATAAGGGCACCTGGGTGGCACACTCAGTTGAGTATCTGTTTTATTTTGGTTCAGGTTATGGGGTCCTTGAGGTCCAGCTGCATGTCTGGCTCCACACTCAGCATGGAGTCTGCTTGGGATTCTCTCTCCCTCCCTCTCCCACTCCTTCCCACTCGTGCTCACACTCTCAGAGCACAATAATTACTTAATGTAAACTGACTACAAATTCTATCCTTAAGGCTGGTTCATAGATGGAACATGACTAGAAACTGTCAGTACACCTTCAGCTGCATGCAGTCCAATGTTGTGATTAAGAGCATGGGTTGTGAAATCAGATTCCCTTGGTTGGAATCCTGGTTCCACCATTTACTTCAATGTGTGACCCTGGGTGAATTACTTAATTGCTCTGAGGGCTCCTTGAATAGCTGGTTCCATCCAGGCCTGGGACAGGAAAAATACAAAATGAGCCTAGAGTATCTTACATTGTCAGAAGATAGGAAGTACTTAAAAAGAATGAGGAACACAGGGTAAAGTTTTCAAAAGCCAATGCTAGAATGATTAGAGCAACAAAATTAATAAAGTACCATTCTATTTAGCCCAACGTATAAAATATATACATTTCATATCAAGACAAATAAATGAAGGGGCGCCTGCCTGGGTGGCATCCGACTCTTGATTTCAGCTCAGGTGATGATCTCAGGGTCATCAGACCAAGCCTCACATTGGGCTCTGCATTGGGCTCTGCATGGGTTTCTGCATGGGGCATGGAGATTCTCTCTTGCACTTTCGCTCTGCATTCCCCAATCAATCAATCAATCAATCAATCAATAAAATGATGGGATGCCAAATCTTTTTTTACAAAAGAATTCCAAATAATAAATGTAGATAAATCTTCTAAGAGTTGGAATTTAACTTCCCTCCTCACTTGAATATAAGGCAGACCTAGAGACTCATTTCCAAAGAGTAAAGTATGGAAAGGGAAAAATAACTTCATGGCAGGAAAATCTGGCAAATACTGCCTTCACCAAGTGATTAAGGTTATCATCTCCAATAGTTATGTTGACACTGACATCACTTACCACCTGCTCTAATGAATGAGAAATATACTTTCACCTCTATGGTATTCTTTCCCAAAATCCATAACCACAGTCTAATCATGGGAAAAACATCAGACAAATCCAAATTGAAGGACATTCTACAAAAATTCCTGACTAATATGCCTTAAAACTATCAAGGACATGAAAAACAAAGACTGAGAAATTGTCACAGAGCAGAGGGGTCTAAGAAAACATGACAACGTTATACTCTCGAACAAGAAAAGAACATTAATGGAAAAACTGGTAAAATCCAAATACAATCTAGAATTTAGTTAACAGTAATGTACTAAGGTTGGCTTCTTGGATTTGACAGACATTTTAGAGTTTATGTTAATATTAGGTATATGGGAAATCTATGATCTCTGCAACTTCTCTGTAAATACAAAATTATTCCATGATAAAGCCTATTTAAAATGCAATTATGGGGATGCCCTGGGTGGCTCAGCAGTTGAGTGAATCTGCCTTTGGCTCAGGGCATCATCCAGGAGTTCTGGGACTGAGTTCCACACATCAAGCTCCCTGCATGGAGCCTGCTTCTTTCTCTGCCTCTCTCTGTGTCTCCCCTGAATAAATAAATAAAATCTTAAGAAAAAAAATTATGTAATAAAATAAGATGAAATCAGAGAGGGATACAAACCATAACAGACTCTTAACTATAGTTAAAAACTGAGGAGGGGAGGTAGTGGTAATGGGGTAACTGGTGATGGGCATTAAGGAGGGCACGTGATGTAATGAGTACCAAGTGTTACATATAACTGATGAATCGCTAACCTCTACGTCTGAAACTAAAAAATATAAATAAATAAATAAATAGGAATTGTATAATAAATTCCTCAAAAAACTAATTATAGAATTATCAGGGTGCTTGGGTCTGCCTGTGGCTCAGGTCGTGATCCCAGAGTCCTGGGATCGAGTCCTGCATGAGGCTCCCTGCAGGAAGCCTGCTTCTCCCTCTGCCTATGTCTCTGCCTCTCTCTCTGTGTCTCTTATGAAAAAATAAATACTTTTTAAAA